CTCCAGCATCTCCTGTACAACTTTGGTCCTCCAGAAAATGTAGAAGAAATGATAAATTTTAATAGAAATAGCCTATGAAATCCCCACTAGACTGCACAGATGGCCAGAAATCATGATTGGAAGCATTCATACATATTTCAGAGTGATACACTGGAAAAAAAGATACATTGCAAGATGAAAAAACAGCAAAAAACCCCTCAAACTTGAGATGCACTTTGGCTGAAACCAGGTTGGTGTTTCCCCTAAACATCCATCATGCAATCTGATTGAAAACATAACCTTGAATTAAACAGATGCAAATGAAGCACTGTTAAATAGGACTTTTTTAAGAACTGAGACTGCTACAGCTTGATTATATACTTATATTTAGCTAGATTTTTAAATATACAAAGAGCAAGACAATTCTGCTAGATACGTACTACCCCACAGAACATATGTAAATACACAGTGAATTAGCAAATACAAAAAATTAATCCAGACTGTGGAGCTGGACCTTAATACTCAGGCAACACTGTAGTTGACATTCTGCATAAACAATAAAAACTAGGACACTTGCTGTAGCTCAGCCAACATGTAGGGTTTTTTTTTAAAGGATGCACTAGTTAACATTATTATCAATTAAAAACATGTCAAATTTCACAGATTTAGAAAAGGGAAAAAACCCCAGAAAATGCATGGGGAAGTAGGAAGAAATCTAAATATAGCTATTCCATCATAGAGATTTTATTGGTGCCAGTTAAGAATGATTTGCTCACTCCTATCTTCAGCACATTTGTGCCAATTTTGCAATTTTTGTGCTTTTACATCCCCCTCCCCTCCCCCCACCCCCAAGTACATCAGACATTCCCCTCCCTTTGGAGTACACCCAAGGAAAATGAATTCCAACTGCAAGCTTGGATGAGCCATGGCTGTAAGCCAGGGCTTCTGCATTGCATTCCCAGTTTTTTTCCAAATCTCTCTGCATATGCCCTGCAAAGTCATTGTCTCCAGAAGTAAGAAAGAGCTAATAAAGCTGTGTCAGTACGTTCAATATCATTCAGCACTCTCTGCTGAACATCCTGTTTCACTAGCCTGGAATCCTATCTTCCAGTTCTTAAGCATGCTGAGACACAAAGTCTTGGAGAGATGTTACTGGAGATGACCATTCTGTAAAGAGCATGGTGCAGGGAACTTGTAAGTTTGCACAGAACCTCAGAAGCTCTCTGTGAAGATAGGACAGATTTGCAGGATCAGGGCCTTATATTCTGAAGTGACAATCTGGACTGGTTCTTTGCCAGTCTAACTGGTTGGGCTTCACTAGAATTGCTCTTGACAGATCAGTGGCAGGGAAAAGGAAGAGTGGCCTTTGAACATGCAAGTGACATTTCCCATGGCTTCTTTAGCTGCAAGGACTTCTGATAATACCACTGTGCAGAGAAGGGAAGTCTGCTAGGTCGAAAATAACTTATTTTATTAAAACTGTTCAGCTCTGATGTTTAGTAAGAGCCAAGTGGCCTCCATTATCTACACAAAAATAACCCACCAGGTATCCAGGGCTGTCTTTTCTAGTACGTCTGCATACTCTTTAGCCCTGGGTATGTTTCTTGTGCATTAGCTGAAGAGGATTCTTAGAACCACTCCTCGATCTGCAGCATGCTCCACATTTAACATTGTTGTGCACTCACTCACTGAACCATTTTTAAACTCAGTCTCCTGCTGAGAGCTAAATGCACTGTTTGTATTCTAATCTTTGTACCTACTGCAGCTAAAGTATAATGGTTCCACAGCTAGAAGGCAATAGCTAAAGCAGGGGAAATATAATTAAGAAAAATAAAAAATGATTGATAGAAAATACAGCACATTGCTCTAGACATATTAATTTAGTGCTATCTGAGTGACTTGAACAACTAATTTATTAAAATTACCTGGAAGCATCTTATGATTACCCCAACATAAGCACTCTCTAATTTGCCTCTGCTTCTATTCTTGGCAAGACAGTCCACGTTTTGCATGCTCAATATACAAGATGCACGAAAACCAATTAATGCTGTTGACCTATACAAATAGGATAACACCAGCAGACTTGATCACCGCCAGACAAGTGCAGATAACTAGTAAATGAAGGACTTGGTCCTAATTTGTGAAGCCAGTCAGAATTAAAACATGCTGAACTCTCCTTGGCTTCGATGGGAGGTATGAATGTTTAGTATCCTGCCACACCGAGTGCTACAACCTATCAAAGTTTTGACACTTTACAAGTTCATGGCCTGTAGCAACTAGAAAATGAACTCATAGAAGGCAGAGATGGCTATAATGAGAGGAATACCACATACTTCCATGCCAGGCTCCTGCCCTCACAAACCAGTCCCCCCAAAAGCTCCCCTTGTGTGCTGATGAGCTCCTGACTCCTACAGCAGAGCTAATGTCATGCCACAGGCTCTTTCAGGCTGTTGCCTCAGAGCACTCTTAGTCACAGGTCAGTCTCCTTCATAGGATTAAAACATTTCAGAGGTTTGGTCAGAAAACACAGGAAAGGCCTTGATGTCTCCCTTCATTGGTAAATATATTGTGTATTATTGAACTGACTCTTAGGGTTGGGGGAACTTTCCGCTGTGTTTTAACTACATCTAGCTTATCACCTAGCTCTCACATGCTTGCTCAGAGATGTCAGCAGGATGAGATTCCTGAAGAAATCTGAACTGGTTCATCCAGAACAACATAGAGAAGAGGTTGTCTTTTAAAAGATCAAGTCTAATAGTTGAAGACATCAGACACAAGTTTGAAACCTCTTTAGAGAACTTATTTTGTTGGAACATTAAAGAATGTTTTGTTCAATGTCCCTGAGCAGAAAATGGTGGTAAAAGTGAAAACTGATAAGCAGGACATGTTCAAGGGACAGCAGATGAGCTCCAGAGTGACTGGCAGAGCACTGTTCCACTGCACTCAAATCTGGAGAAGAACATCTAGTCCTGTGTTGACTGTTGGGAAAGTGAATGAAGTTGCCCATGAGAGACCTACTGGGAAATAAAAGGAAAAGCCCCAGAGATTCACTATGTCCTGGCAGAAACTCTCGATCCAGGGTTGCCTTTTGCTACTCTGCCCAGCTGCCATGGGCATGTTTCAATGGCTAAGAATAAAAGATGGTTTTAACCTCCTCAGGTTTCTGGTAGATGATACCAGAAGCAGTACCTCCTCCCTGGAACCACACTGTCACTTGAGTCTGCTAATCAAGGCTTCACACAAAGGCCATGTACTGTTTTGTCACCCCACAACATCACACAAACAGAATGCAGACCACATCTGGCCCATTTGGTCACTTGTCCCATTTTCACTAACAGGTAATGGTTAAAAGCTCCCTCCTGGATTTCCCAGCTGCTCCAGGCCATGCTCCTCCCCAGTCAGCCACCAGTGACACTATGCTCTTGAAGGCTTTGGCCACCCTGCATTACATCTGACAAAGAGATGGGCACAGCTTCCTGGTGATAAATGCCATGGTCCATAATTATTGAGAAAAAATATTTCATGGGGTGGTGGTGGTGGGGAAATGCTGTGTTGACCTCTCCTTTTAATAGCTGTATCTCTGGTAAAAGGGTCCAGTTCACAGAAAGCATGAGCCAAATTCAGCTATGGTGCTCCTTCAGCAAAGTGAAGGGGACTGCATCAAGGAAGGATTTTGGCCCATTGTGCACAATCGTAATGTGATGGTGGTTCTGATGAAACAATGCACTGCACTGCATAACAACTGCTATAGGTCAGTGAAAGTCACATTTTTTGTTTGCATACGTGGTAGAGCACAGCCATAAAGCCTGACGTTAGTGCCTCTCTCTGATTTTTCCTGAAGTCCATTTTCTAAATGAATACCCAGCATGTGATTCTCTGTCTTCTGATGATTAGTCTGCTGCCATTTCAGGCTACATGGACCTTCCCCGAGTTCATAATGGGGAAGATATTAATTACGTTCAGGGAAAATTGAGTTTCATGACTCCCAGAGGAACACGCTACAGTCTTCATGAAACAACTTCTTTCCACCTTTTTATGTCAACTACAACAGACTCTGCATAAATGGTGCAAGACATTTTTATGAGTTACATCATGAGTGGAAAAGAACAGCAATTGTATCAAACTGCCTGGGTGCATTAACCTTGTTTCTGAGGAGCTAAAATTATTTTTTGGAAGCAAAGTTAAAGAAGATACTGCACAAAAAAGAGTCTGTCACTTGGTCTTCCTTCTCCTCTTTTGCCTATATTTCCTTTTTGCAGCGGTCATACCCCTGCCTACTTGAACATTGAAGAGGGTTCTAGCTGATGAATAAAATTTGCAAACCCTAAAGCTATGCACTTAAGTTCTTATCCTAAGGGACATTTTAAACAGGCAACCATAGAGAAAACCAAACCCAATGTACATTAACTATACTGCAAACTAATTTCATGAGGCAACTGGCACTGGAGCATGAGTCTTAGTTCCAATAGGTAACCATTTCTTATTGCTCTTATCACGACAGCATCCTTCAGAAGGGCAATTTCTCTCCCAGAAATAAGTGAATTATCAGAAATTGCTGTTTCATTTTCCTCGATCTGTGCTGCATACTGATAATCATTAAAATACATCTTTCTTGATCGTTCACTTTTTTTTTAATTGCTTGAAGCTCCTCTGTATGAGACTTTACTTTTCCAAGCAGTGTGATCTGGAAGCAACAGCACAGAATTGGGAGAAAAACAAAATACTAAGTTTGAATCCTTACCCTGCCACTGCAAAAAGGAAAAGAGGAAAAAACCTCCCTCACTCTCTTTCTTCTGAAGAATGGAAATTCATTACCTTGCACATATACATACATGGTTTCAAATAGCCTCAAGTAGCATACATATAAGAATTAATCGCACATGCCTGTTTTCTCTGAAGTAAAGACACATTAAGGATGTAAAGACATTTCCAGACCCATGGGAACAATGTTCTTACGCCAGCAGTACTCTACTGGAATACAAAAGAACCTGTGGTTTTTGCTTTTTTAAAATGCATTTAGCATGACTGAAGAGCCTAGCACTGCTGCTGCGGCTGCCGAGTCCCTGTCACTACCAGGCCGAGGGCACAGGGAATGTGGAGAGCACCTCGCCCAAGTGCCCCCTAACCTGATGCACACACAGAAGACACATTTGCAGACAACTCCATCAGCAGCGCCATTTATAACAGCAGAGGAGGAAGCTGTGAGCAACAGAGCTCCGACACCGGTTAGCAGACAGAGAAGGGGGCAGCAAGGGCAGGAATGGACATCAAGTTGACGGTGCCAGGAGCAGAACTGGGTTTGAGCATCTTCTTCTGCCTTTGTCCCTCTCTCCAACTTTCTCCAAAGCGGTGTTTGAGAAAAGGAGAACAGAGAACACAAATCTGCTCAAAATGAAACCTTGAGTACTGCCTCTCACACTGCTCCTCTTTTACAATGAAGAAACAGGTGGCAAGGTCCTGCAGGATGCTCTTGGGTTCATCCCAAGGCCTCCCTCCGCTTGCTCAAAGCTTTGGTGGCCCATGGGAGCCCAGCCCAATGTGGGAATGGGAAGGAGACACAGTGCATTACACCTCCCTCCCCAAAAGCAGCTGATCCTGCTAGGAACAGCTCCCCCTCTCAGCTATCTGAGTGGGCTGAGCCATCATTCACAACCTCCCAGCAACTTTGGTGAGGTGTAAGCCAAGGGGAAGAGAGACAAACTGAAGCTTCTTCCACTGCTCTTCACACAGATGTATGGCCACTGACAGCCCAGCAAAAACCACAGGCTGAGGTGCTAGTCCTTGTTTCAGCAGCAGCAAGGTAGGCTGGACATCCTGTGGTTAAGCCCAAGGGCTTGAGATGGAGATTTCCATTTCTGCCATCTAAGAGACCGACAACAAACACTATAATTTCTGTCTCGCTCTTCCTGCAAAGAGCAATTGCCAGTCATATGGGTAGGGACCTTACACTAGTTCAATGTGCCTTGTATGCTAGTTAGAAAGGCAAGACATCATTATACAATATAACGTTCCAGTTCTGCAATATTCAAGGGCTTAAAACACCTTTAAGAATCTAGCCTCAAATTTTGTGGTAGCAATTTAAAACAAGAACATCTTAACAGATTCTTGAAAGCGCTGGATTCCAGTTTTAGTAAAATCTTATTCTTGATTAAATGCTGCTTAATTGAAAGTGGTGTGTGATTTCTCATCAGCATAAGTAATCTGCTATAATACCTGTACAGGCTGTGAAACCATTGTCAAATTGAAATACTGCTTTCCCTTTTCTGTCCATTTGATCATACATTCCATTTTGGATTTCTTTGCTCTCTATACAAAGGCTTCTGAGCTCAAGATCACAGAGACGGTCTGGCAATAAAAACATTCAAGCAGCAATACAGACAGCTGGGAATTTATTGCATCAGGATTTGTTTTTAAAATATAGGTTTCTCCTGATAAACTAATATTGTCATCTGTTCTGGTGGCAGAGCATACTGCAAACAGCAATCTTCCCCCAGAGAAAAAAATGTCAGATTGTGATTTATGAACGGGGAGCCACTAAAGAGTATGATTTCACCCTAAATTAGTAATTTATCAAGTAAAGAACCACAAGCAAATAGCTAAATATTGGTGCCTTAAAGGGTCAACAGACTTCTCACTAACTTTTGCTTCAAGCACAAATAACCAGAGACTCCTCCAAGGGAAAACTGTTCTAGTGGATGCCCTAGAAAATGAAAACATTTAGGTCTAAGTGTTGAGGAAAGCATTCCCAACATGACCTTTGAGTGTCTGTACGGGGTTCAGAGGAGCCGCACACAAAGGGACTGCACAAAGCTGCTAAAGGTAGCAAGTCCATCAAAATGTGGTAGTATAGATCAAGAGGAGGTAGTGGGGAGAAGGCAAGAAAGACGGGAAAACAAAGCCATCTAAAAGGGTGAGTGTTTGTTTTTAACCTAATTGCCTGAAGTGAAGCAGTTGATTTCCATGTACAATGAACTATGAATTATTGGAAATCACTATGACACAAGTCAACAGAACAATTGCTTTGTAAAATCCTCTTACAGGCCAGGGAAATGAGTTTCTAGACATCCATCTGGGGGAAGGAGGTTCCCTCTACCTCTGATCAACATTGGCAGGAAACATACACTGTCAGCGTCCAAAGGCATGGCCGTGGGTGCAAAGCTGTTCAGCTAGGACTAGAAGCAAACCAAGGAAGCTCAACCTGTTATTCCCTAGACACTCCCTCAGACATCTCTTCTCCAGGCTCCTCAACGTTCATTCCCAAGAATTTCAATGATTTGTAACTTTGTTGACTTAGCAACTGCAGAGCATTCAAATTCACGCTACTCTCAACGTTACGGAGTGAAGGATAAGTTCTTTTTTCCAACCACCATACTGCAGATGTAGATGCCTGGATATGGGACCATAATTTCCACAAAATTAGGCAATTAAAATTTTATTTGAGACAGTTTAAGTGCATCTGTAAAACTGCTACTAGTAGTGTCAATAGAACAATTTATGGTTGTGTGCTTCTAGATCTGGAATACTAGAAGATTTCATGGGGCATCAATCCATGACTGCCATGAAAAATGGGTGTTTATTTTACTGGTTAGATGTCAGCAATCTGTTCCTTTATATAGCACAGCTGGATTTAATAATGAACGAAGGACTTCAACTTCTTAACTACTGCAAAAAATTTCTTGTCCATTCAACAACTGATTCAGATTTCTTTTCTATTGATGTAATTCCACTGTCTCCTATCAATTTGTATAGGTCTGTATCTCTTTCTGAGATTGCTTAAAAAACAATAACCAAGCTGATAACCAGGGCAAATGGGAGAAGGTGCTCCAAGCTTTCAAATTCTCATTGCGTAGCAGAAGGGTACCGGATACACTACTTTTCTAATAAAGTTTTTTCTCGGCCTTTGTAATGATGATAAAACTTCCTTGGGTGATGGTATGGTCTCTGCTCTTTCAAACTGTAGAGAATGAATGCAGTGGTAACCAGGTATGTGGAGAAGTGATTATTAGCAATAGAAGAAAAGTTGTGAATCACAGGAAATTTAGTGAGAGACAGCCAAAGCCAACCATCTAGATCAGTGTGAATGGTAAATGCTCAATTCTGATCCTTAAGAGTATTGGAAAGGAAGCCCTTTCCCATTTCCATTCTAGCTTTCTTGAACATGCACAACATCTGAAAATGTTGTATTTTGGCTTTGTGAAAAATAAGCCAGTTGGCTTATTCAATGATAGGGTCAGTTCATAGGTCAAGTCTCATTGGTTTTGGCTTTAATGACCACAGCAAATACGCTTCGAAAAAAAAAATAAGAATTATTACTTAATCTACTTGGAGAGCTCAGGTATTTCTTCTTTAAGATATCTTGCAGGTTAAAGAAAGGCAGGTAAGAGGCTAGGGTTGCAGCTGCACTTTATGTTTGATCATCAGCTCTCAATCCTTCCTCACACCAAAAGCATTTACCAGGCTGAAGGAGCAAGTCTCCTGCGTGCCGCTGGCATCCTCTTCTCTGTTTAAATTTTGGCACAAGAACGGAGTCTGAAGCAACCTAAATTCATATTCAGGGGAGACAGACTGGGACAACAAGCATTAGCAGGAGAGGCCAAGATTCAGCTCTGACACAAAGAACCTGATTACAAATTGAGCCTGGATAGCAGACAAGCAGCCTAGAGTATCATCTACAAAAGCTTGCTCTAGCCTTCTTGCATCAATTGCCCGAAACAACTGCACTTGTGCAGCACAAGAGCTGCTATGATACATTAAACACAAGCCCAGAAAAGCCAGCAATTTAATGATCACTGTCCATACAGAAGTACAAAAGGAGAGAAGCAGTTATTTCAGTTTGCTGTCCTTAGAAGAGAAAGCAGAGAGGCCACAGCCTGAATGTTTACAAGGGCTAAAGTCTTGTAAACAGCCAGAGGATTTTGCAGCAGTTGGGAGGGCTGTGGCGAACAGCCTGGTCCCCTTAGACAATTCAAAAAAGTAGAGGGGTCAGTGCCAAGGCCAAAAAACTGATTAATGTGAGATGGTCTATCTCAACCACAAACTTCGGCAGTTCACAACTCAGTGCTGACATATTTCAATCAAAGCATGTCTGCGGCTAAACCTAATAACCAGCCAGCCTATCAAGTGGTAGAGGCTAAGCAATTCCAAATCACCCCAAGAATTTTAAAATGGCAATGACTTACTGCAGGACTGCAGAGAATGACCCGTCTGTCAGAGGCAGTTGTTGTATCTGTGGCTGACACAGACGTCAAGATTCCTGCTCCCTGCCATGAACACTGTTGTGATGCTGTAAAATGGAGAGGGCTATCTGGGACCACTGCCCTATACAAGCCATCCAGAATCTGTCCTATGCAATCTTTCCTGAATTTTTCCAGCAATGACATTTCATCACTTTTGAATGAAATAAGTTCCTCCACAGTGAAATTGCATCTTTTTCTGTCAGACAGAGGTCAGTCAGTCTGCTTAACAGTAAAGTAAAACAAAAATGCCCCCTTTTTATTCTATTTTTTTCATAAACAGAACAAGCATTGCAATTTTTTTAATTTGACTACCTAAATTTGTTTGCTTGCTTATGAAGACATAGTTTTTTGGGGGATGGTTGCAGTCCCCTGGATTCCTATAGAAATACTTAAGTCAACAAAGTTTTAAACCACTTTATACCACACTGCTCTGTATCACCAAACTGTTATTTTTGACACACAATGTGCAGCCTCGCAAAGAATAAAAAGAAAAGGTTATTTCCCGAAGAGCGGCAAAGCGCATACGCGTGCCCCTTGGAGTCACCTGGAGTCAAACAATTTAACATAGATTGAAGCTGCCAAGAGTACGGGAAGCTGAACAAACAGGCAGTTTCACATTTAAAATGGGTTTATCTGGCAAAAGTCATGGGAATTTATTTACTCTGCCAAGAGAAAGAGCTCCAGCTTCTCTACCTCTTTAATAGTGTCCTTGGATAGTCCTGATGGACACTGGAAGCTGGCACTGTAATGAACAGCCCATAGCTAACTAGCAGAGGCCATATCAGCACACTGTAAGCATAATTTGTAGCAACTTCCACATATACGTTCTTGTCCCATCCCATTCAGCCTCCTGGGATAATAGATCATCATAAAACCACAATGTCCAAAGATCTTTCCTGAGGGCTTCTTCAAGATTGACCTAAGTACAAGAAGTATACACTGACAGTATCAAAAGAGACATCTCATCTTGTTTTTTGAAATGCACGCTA